GAGAGAGAGAGAGAGAGAGAGAGGGAGAGAGGCTTTATTTATTCTTCAATGGATACCCTTACCCCCTTTTTAAAGCTGTAATTTAAAGGAAGAGATGGTTAATCTCCTGCTTACCATCAAGGTTTCCAGAAATCAGAGTGGTTTTTTCCCCCCCTATTAACTTGGTTTAACTTTAGTGACCCTGAAATCATCATTACACTGAATATAAGCACTTTGGTTTTTACATTCAGGTAAGGGACATCCATGTTAAAAGGACTAAAATCTTTTAAGAAAGACAAATTTAAAAGACTAGCCAGGGAAAAGATTGAGATAGGCAGTTTGTTAGTTGAGTTAGTAATGGGCATTTAAATTTATTATGAAAACAGTAGGAGGAAAAGAACCTTCATTTTATATTTTGAAAATAACAGTAAGTCATATAGGAAACTGACTGAAGTGTTTGAATATTAATGATAGTGGAGTGTCTTTTTGGTAAACGATGTGATTTAATTATTCTTTCATTAATAATTTATGTTTACCCATTCATTACAATGTAATTGTGCTGACTTTAGTGTGAGGAAAACTTATTATGGCGTGCACTTCAGTTTTTGATACTTGCTCTGAAAAAATAATAGGCAATAAACATATTCCCAAATGTACAGTTTTTAATCTTAACATAAAGACATTAAAAAGTGAAAGCTCCTTCAGTACCTTCTTCTCCTAAAAAATAGAACATGTGTCTTAAATTGAAATCATTTTTAATAGCTAAGATTGCAATTCTTTAGGTGTCTCATTTTACATTTTTTGAGGCAGCAATATATTTTTACCACTTCTTTTTATCACCTGGTAATGTTCTGAGAGATTATCAGTTTTGTACTACTTCATGTATCAATCTTTCATAACATTACTAATGAGAATTTAAAACTACATTGAACAGAAATGTGGTGTTTAAAAATTATTAAATGGGTTTTGCGTTTAGGTTGATCAGAGTTTCTAAATTATTGGACTTGGAGATCACAAACAAGTCTGTACTTGTCCTCCTAGTAGTCTACAAATATAAATATAGTATGTGATGTAGGCCTTTAACTGGACAATGAGTTCTTTATTATATCAGTTCATAATTATTTATTTTTGTTTGTTAAATTAAAATGCTGCTTGATAAAAGTATGCCCGTGGTAATTTGAAGCATTAAATGAGTCTGAAAAAAAGATTAAGTAGTCAAAGTTGAAGTTATGGTACTTAAGTGAGATCAGAACCATATTTCATAAGAATTGGATCTATGTATTTTTAAGATAGTTCTAGGAAATAAAAACACTCCCAACTTGGTAGTATTGTAATATTTGTGTGATATACTTATGAATATCTTCAACTGAAGCCCAACGTACCAAGCCTGCACCTTTCCTGACTGTCCTCATTCCCACTCCATAGACAAAGATCCAAATCACTTGCGCTACTCACTTGAAAGGAGCTTACTTACAGAGGTGTGTTTTAATCCTGAATATGCTGTAAGAATGTCATGTATATTTTGTAAACAATAAAATTATAATATAAACTTTTCATTAAAAAAAGAAAACTAGTAACCCATGTCTTTTTGGTAAGTGAAGACTCATACTGACAACCTAAAACAAAGCCACAACCTGACCTCACTGCAAACTTCTTTAATTTACTTCGCACCCTCTTTGGTTACCCAAAAGAAGAATACCAAAGCAAGTTTTTCTTTCCTGTTATCTCCCAGTGTCTTCATAGTTTAAAAAAAAAAAAGAGAGAGAAAATTGTGTTCAGTTTAGACAAACAAAATTTCACTAAGTGATTTTTTTTTTCCTTTTTGAGCAGTTTTACTTGAAACCCTGATAGAATAAAATAGTTGTGGAAAATAATCATACTTACATGGGTGTGAGTGATTAACATATTTGCAATCAAGCGGTAATGTAGGTTATCAACCTTTACCTAGAAACTCAAAAGAAACCCTGATGTTTCATTGTAGAAAGTTTTCTAATACTGTATTTACTCAACAAATTCAGGGATTCTGGAAAGATTTAGTTATCAATTGTTATTTTCACTTATGTAGCTCTTTTTGCAAATAAGACCTTGTAAACCATTTCTTAAAACAGCCCTATAAGATGTGCCATTGTTCTACCCACTTTATGGAAACAGATAAGTTAAATGACAGGGAAGTTACAGAATTCCTCTGATTTATTATCAGACCCTGGAAGCAGTGCAGGGGCCAGAGCACCTTGTCTTTATTTAATCTTGTAAGTCATACAGACTTCTGAATCAGGTGCATTTCAGACTTAGAATTATAATCAAAGTAGAATTATATATGTGGACCATTTTGGATGTTATCTAAATTCTAATTTAATCCCAAATTGAGCAATTTTGTTCAACTTATTTCTTTTTTTTTTTTTAAAGATTTTTTTATTGGGGAATTGGGGGGATGGGAACAGTGCTGGGGAATTGGGGAAAGGGGAACAGACAAGTTGCTGTCGTTTTGTTCTTCAATCTAGTTGTAGAGGATGTTGCTTTACTGGCCCAAGTTGGCACCATCATTGCGCTCTTCTCTGGCGAGGCAGATCAGTCGCCGGCTTCTGGACGGCCGCTCACTGCGGCTGCTGGCCGCTCACGCTGGCTGCTGGCCACACACGGTAGCCCATGGCAGTCCACTGTCACAGGGACTGCAGCCCACGCCGTCGCCGGCAACTCACGGCAGCCCAGCTCCAGGTTGAGCTGTTGTTCAGCATCTTAGCTGTAGAGGGCAGTGTCACTGGCCCTCATATGTGGGATCCGAACCGGGGCCCTCTGGCATCCCAAGCGAGTTCTTAACCATCGCGCCACTCGGCCGGCCCTCAACTTATTTCTTAGTTACAATAAGCCAAGAATGGTGATCCTAAGGTTTACATAGTGATGCCATATTAGTCCTGGTTTCTTTCCTCTATCCTAGAACTTAGTAGTTAAGTTTTGTCCTTGGATCTGGGTCGGGCAATTTATTAGCTCTGTCTGAGAAATAGTTATTATAAGTTCCTTCAGCTGCAGTGGGAAACATTTACTATAAATATAAAGCTTATAACTTTAGAGTTTACTTTAACCATAGCCTATGATCTTCATTTTGCTTTAAAATTAGAAACTGACTAG